GGAGTGTGCGCGCAAAGCCGAGCCGCGCAAAGCCGAGCCGCGCAAAGCCGAGCCGCGCAGATGAGAGAGACGCGGGCTGAAGCGGCTCAGCCGGAAAGCCGCCGAGAAGTAGCCTCGGGGCGGAGCCTGCCGGCAGGGCGAGGCGCCAGGAAGCTGCGGGGATAAGACAAACAGAAGTTTAGAAGTAAAGTGAGAGAAATAGGAATGCTGGAAGATAGAAGTAAAATGGGAGAAATAGGAATGCCCGGAGATAGAGAAATAGAGAAGTAAGGCCTCCCCACAGCATGGCAATGAGAGAGCTTGGATTCGGTCTGCCTGATTAAGTGAGGCGATGAGCACCTGCGGGCAGCTAGCAGCTTATGCGCCGCAGGTCACCGAAGACAGGCACGAATTAACATCAGTAAGGCCTCCCCCACAATACGGCAATGAGAAGGCTTGGATTCGGTTTGCCTGATTGTTAGGGCTTGTAAGCCCCTGCAGGCAGAGCAGAGCATGCGCTGCGGGGCACCGAACACAGGCACGCATCAGCGCCTAAAAACCTCCTCATAACATGGCGAAGAGAGGACCCGGATTCGGTTTGCCTGATAGGACTTGTAAGAACCTGTGGCAACTCTAGCAAGTAGAGCAGAGTGTGTGCCGCGGGACACCGAAGACAGGCGCGTATCAACGCCAAAAATAAAAAGAAAGGGGGATCTGTGGGGAGCAATCCGGACTAGACTGAGTTACTGGAATTAAGACTTATTCTATTCATCTGCTCTCCCACAATATGGCGCTGGGAGAGAAGTAAACAGCTTCCGCACAGCTGCCTCCAGTTCAGCTAATAAACTGTAGGACTTGCTCCTGATTGGAGAGCAGCGTACTCGGCGTGTGGGCAGCCGAGTTAGGATTGGCGGAGGAGGACTATAAAGGAGGAGAGAGACGGCATGCACGGGGAACATCTATGGGGAACATCTAAGGGGAACATCTAGCTGAAGGAACACCTGTGCAGCCCCCGAGAAAGCCGGCCGGCGGTGTGCCGCTCCCCTGCGGAAGTGGGGAATGTGGCCAGGGGGAACTGCCCTTCCACGGAGGTGGAAGGGTCGGTAGCCAACCCGGGAAGAACCAGCAGCAAACCCGGGGAGGGCCGAGCAGACGAAAGAACAGCGCAGGGTCCTGTGTCGTTCCTCCACGAAGACGGGGAGCGACATAATGGTGCCGTGACTCGGATATGAAGCCTAGGCAGGGTCTTGTGTCGTTCCTCCACGAAGAGGGGGAGCGACAGTAGACAGAGGCTTTGGACCTTCCAGGGTCTCAGGGTGTTAGGAAAAGAGTTGCAGATTGGTGCCTCCTCACATGGAGCACCAAAATGTTAGAAAAAGAGGCTCAGAATAGAGAGGAGGCAGTGTACGAATTTACAGCCAGACCGAATTTATTCAGAAATAAATCCATAGAGGTGGGTGACCAGCTGCCCGTGTGCACACTGATAGAACACGTGGCAGAAGGCCCCGCCCCCAGGGACCTGGCCTTTTTATTTTAGGAGGGCTGGGCATGGGGGTTGGGTGGGGGGCAGCAGGCGGAGGGGAATTCCTGGAATTGGTCTTTCAGGTGTTCAGAGCAACTGGCCCTTCAGGTGGCTGTAAGGGGCGGGGTGTGAAGGCCATAGGGTGTGAGACCCAATTGAGTTTCAAGGGCAAGGAATACATTCCAGTGTTTATCTATTTTGGGCAATGAGGGGGAATAGCTGAGGCTTCTGTCATTGTTCCATCATGGCGTCAGAGTTCATCTTGTCACCCCTGGAGGACTTTGTGGTCCCCGTGTTTCTTGTACCCTGAGCTTCAGCTGACTATCCTCGCCCCTCCCTCAGATGGCTCAGACTTCTCTTTGGGAGAGAAAAGCAAATACAGAGCTCTTAGGTAGCTGCCTAAGGTGGCTGGTTAAGTCTCCCCACTCCTGGGGCAGGAGGTGTTCAGTGTGAGGGGAACAGGTGGTGGAGACTGTGCCCACGCAGTCCCAAAGCTGGAAGTCTTGTCTTTAAATTTCTCTGTCTCGTCAGTCTGATCTCAACTCGTTCCATTGCACGCACGGATGGTTCAGACCAAGACGACTGCAATGATGAATTGTTTGGATAGAAGCCTGCTGTCTGGACCTGGGTGCAGACCACCAGGGACGGCCAGCTCTGCACGCTCTGGCTTGTGGGCGCGAATTCACTTGCAGGGTTCCGTGTGACTAACTGCTTAGACTTGCCTGGTTTCCTGCATTGCTCTTTCTGTAGTCATTTATTTATTTATTTTTTCTGCAGAGCTTCTTGGGGTATTTCCTACTGGATGGTGGAGCTATATATTAAGTTCTGTCACATTGTACCATATTGGAGGCCCTGTTACTACACTCCGACAGGCTGTTATGTGCTGTGGCACAGTAGGTTTTTAGTGTGTGGCCTGCTTCACGCTCTGAAGCTGATCCCCGTGTTTACTGTCACTCAAAGCCTCACTGCAGAGTGACAGGTGACAGCAGGAGCTGCTTTCCTTGCGGTCTGAGTCCTGCTGTTTCCCTGGCCACCTGGCATCAGAAGACTGAACCCCACTGTCCTCTTTTGATTTTCTTTTTAAATTTTTTCCTGATGTTATTTTTTCTATTCGTGAAGTTTTTTTTTTTTAATATTTATTTATTTATTTGAAACACAGAGTTACAGAGAGGCAGAGAGAGAGAAAGGTCTTCCAACCATTAGTTCACTCTCCAGATGGCCGCAATGGCCGGAGCTGTGCTGATCCTAAGCCGGGAGCCAGGAGCTTCTTCTGAGTTTCCCACATGGGTGCAGAGGCCCGAGGACGTGGGCCATCTTCTACTGCTTTCCCAGGTCATAGCAGAGAGCTGGATCAGCAGTGGAGCAGCCAGGACTTGAACTGGCGCCCCTATGGAATGCCGGCACTGCAGTACAGTCTCCAGTAGCAGACTGAGGGCTGTTCTGATGACCGCGTGTTGGTTTTCTGCCTGTTAACCTTGGGCCCTGCATTTATCAGGCAGCTGTGGCAGCGATGAGTAACAAATAAGTCTCAGCAGCTTCTCCCAGGAACACCCGCTTCATCCTGGCGGGTGTGAGGCTGGCCCCAGTTTGAGCCCGGCTGGCTCAGCTGAACGCCAGGCTTCTGGTCAGCTTCGCGTCTGGGCTGTGTTTTAGGACCTACACTGAGGGATCCTCAGCTCCTGTGGTGTGCTCGTCTGTCAATCACCTGAGCCAATCAGGCCACACATCTGAAGGGCGTGGCCCTGAACCGGTGCGGCGCCAGGCTGCCCACATCCTGTCAGTGAAATGCAGTCACAGGGCCAATCCGGGAGAGCGGAGCGGCGGGGTGTTGGTTTCTGGGGTTGCTGTAAGAAACGCCGCAGGTGCCTGGCTCAGACAATGGGAACTTATTGTTTCACAGTTCTGGAGCCCTGGCAGGGAGAAGCAAAACTGATAGGAGGCTATTGTGTCGGAGGGAACCTCTGCACCAGGCACCAACAGGCCAGACTACAACCCCACAGGGAGTCGCTGCTGTCCCCAGACCGAGTCCCCTGACTTTGGAGAACTCAGGAGAGGGACACGCGGGCCGGTTTCGGTGGCAGGATGATGATGTACCCTCTGCGTGAGTCCTTGCCAAAAGGAGGTAGCCGATGAGTTCCTATTCTCCCTTTCTCTGGGCCCTCCCTCCAGAGTGGAGCAACTTTGAAGTGACCGAGCCACGTTTTGTTCTTGGTGGCTGCTTTCTTCCTATATAACCCACCCCATCTGCTCAGCCCACTGGAACACTGCTTCGAGAATCTCAAACAGCAAACAAAGCTAGTGAAGATCTTTAAACTACATTGTTTGGAGGTGGGGGGTAGGGGAGTCCATGCAATGGGTTAAGCCCCGAGCATCCCATATTGGAGCACCGGTTCGAGTCTCAGGTGCTCCAGTTCTGATCCAGCTCCTTGCTGAGGTGCCTGGGAAGGCAGGAGAAGATGACCCAAGTGCTTGAACCCCTGCCACCCACATAGGATGGCGAGATGGAGTTCTTGGCTCCTGGCTCAGACCTGGCCATTGCGCTGTTTGGGGACTGAACCAGTGAATGGAAGCCCTCTTTCTTTCTCTCCCTCTCCCTCTCTATCTTTCAAATAAAGAAAGAACAAAAAGTGCAGGTGGAACCCCTGGGGTTGGGGGCAGAAGGCATGGATGTGGTTCTGTTATGGGCTAGGATTGGACCTGAATTAACTTTCCAGGTTCCTGCCTTTTACTTAGGGAAGGATTTTACATACAGGTCCAAACACGACATGCAGTGTGGTAAACCTTATTTACAAAGTGAGAAGAATACACAGGCCCATTAGGGCTTTCTTAAGGGAGAATGGGGCCAAAGAAAAGGCGTTCTCATACCCTGCTCTGTTCGTACTGAGTCCACCTGGAGCAGGGAGAGTGCATCCATGCTTCGTAGCTTTTATGAGCTTTAAAATATGAAAGTGCTTACCAAGTACCACCCCTGCGTCCTGGGTAAGAGGAGATGCTTCCTGAGGAGGGGTCCCCTGACTGACAGGTGGGTGAACATGGCAACAGATTGAAGGAGGTGTGGCTTCCAGCTCATGAACTTAAAGTTATCTATTTAAGCTATCCCACATCAGCCCCATCTTAGATGGGACTAACCCTGGCCTTCCTGGGCCAGTCTTCCTGTCTGTTGTCACTGAGCAAATGGAGAGTGTCCACACTTCTCAGAACACCTGCCGTCGATGGCCACTGGGCCATGGGCGCAGTCTTCCAAACAGCGCGAGGGTCTGTGGGCACAGAGCAGGTGGTCTGGGTTTTGGTAAGGCCACGTTCCCAGCCATGAGCTCTGTCTCTGGTGCCCGTCCCTTGCACGGCCTCACGGGGCTGTGTGCGATCGCCCTTGAACGCCAGTGAAATGATTCAGATTGGGGGGAGGGGTCGGAGCCCCAAGCGTCTCTGGCTCCGCCTTCCATCTTCAAAGCCGACACTCTTTCGACCTGAGGAGTCTCCTCTGGGCTCTGTTTTCTAGAACGTAGTGCTGAGGAACGGCACCGAGATCTTCGACTCCTGGGAGAAGCCCCCTCTGCCCGTGTACACGCAGTTCTATTTCTTCAACGTCACCAATCCAGAGGAGATCCTCAGAGGAGAGAAGCCTCTGTTACAAGAAGTGGGGCCGTACACCTACAGGTGAGTCCTGACCGCTCCCTGCCCGCCGAGTCCCACGCCACCTCCCACGAGGGGGCTCAGACAGGCTTTGGTGCTGTTCTGAGCACTGCTGCTCTGCGCGCATGCGCGGCACCTCATCCGAGCGTGGCTTTGCATAAAATCTTTCATTTATTCAAAACGGCAGAGAAAGAGAGAGCACGCTCATTCACATCCACTTGCTCTCCCCCAGATGCTTGCAATAGACAGGGCTGGGCCAGGCTAGAGCCAGGAGACAGGAACTCAATCCAGGTCTCCCACAAGGGTGGCAGGAACCCTGTTACCCGAGCCATCATTACTGCCTCCTAGGGTCTGCATTAGCAGGAAGCTGGAGTCTGGAGTTGGTGCCAGGAATGAAACCCAGGCACTGCCGTGTGGGAGGTGGGTGTCTTAACCACAAGGCAAACACCTGTTCTCAGAGTTTTGAAATGATAACTATTTCAATGAGCAATCTCCCCTCCCTAGTCGTGGGGGTCCTCATCTGTGGATTCAACCAATTGCAAATTTAAAATATTCCCCCAAATCCTCTGATGTTGCTCACATGCAGTACCCCGAGTCTGTACTGAACAAGAACAGACTTTTTTCCTGATATTGATCCTTAAACAGTAGAGTACCCCAACTATTTACATAACATTTACACGTACTCGGCATTGCAAGGGATCTAGAGGGGTTTTAAGGTTTACAGGAGGGTGTGCACAGGCCATTTGCAAATGCTACCGCATTTTATGGCAGAAACAGCATCAGTGAGTTTTGTATCTGCGGGAAAGGCTGGAGCCCATGGCCTGCAGATACTGGGGGGGAGCTGTAACCGGTTTCCTTTGTAACCCTCTGTATTTTCTGTAAATGCTGGTCTGAGAAAGGGGCTAGAGATTTTAACCAAAGGGGCCGTGGCGCATGGAAGGCTGGAGCTTGAGAACAGAAATTTAACATGAGCCACATACATGATTTAGAGTTCCCAGGGCTGGCGTTGTGGTGTAGCAGGGTAAGCCACCAGCTGCGATGCTGGCGTCCCATATGGGCGCCAGTTTCAGGCCCAGCTGCTCCATTTCTGATCCAGCTCCCTGCTAACGGCCTAGGAAAGCAATGGAGGATCGTCCAAGTTCTTTGACCCCTGCCACCCACCAGGGGAGACCTGGATGCAGCGCTTGGGTTTGGTCTGGCCCAGCCCTGGCTGTTGCGGCCACTTGGGGAGTGAACCAATGAATAGAAGATCAATTGCTCTCTCATTCTTGCTCTCACTTCTTTCAAATAAATAAATAAGTCTAAAAAAAAAGTGAGCTCGCTGCCTCTCCGGCCTTCACGCTAACACTGCCTTGGTGTGTGTGTCCATGAGCGTGCTGACTACGTGCACGTTAACAACCGCTCTGCGTTTCTGTAAGCCCTCCTGCCCAGTGTGCTGGAAGTCTCAGGAGGGGCAGAGACCCAGTCCTTTCCTCTCGGAATATGCAGTGTCTGGTACATCTTCGTGGAGTCAGTACGGGAAGCCTCCTCAACCGTGATTAAAATCCATAGACCCGGCTGGCGCCGCGGCTCACTAGGCTAATCCTCCACCCGTAGCGCGGCACCCTGAGTTCTAGTCCTGGTCGGGGCGCCAGATTCTGTCCCGGTTGCCCCTCTTCCAGGCCAGCTCTCTGCTGTGGCCAGGGAGTGCAGTGGAGGATGGCCCAAGTGCTTGGGCCCTGCACCCCATGGGAGACCAGAAACACCTGGCTCCTGGCTTCGGATCAGCGTGATGCTCCGGCTGCAGCGCACCGGCCACGGCGGCCATTGGAGGGTGAACCAACGACAAAGGAAAACCTTTCTCTCTGTCTCTCTCACTGTCCACTCTGCCTGTTAAAGAAATCCATAGACCCAAGTGGAAGAATCGTCGGAAACCACGGGACATGGGGAACTCAGCTGGTGTCAGGAGATCTAACCTCGGAAACTCAAGGATAAGCTCAGGAAGTGAGGTCGTGCCCTGGCCATGAGCAGCTTTGTTAGGCACACGCACAGGTGTGGTGCCAGCTGCTCAGAGCTCCGAGCCAGCATGAGCGCACTGTGAGATCGGGGATTTGTAGAAAAACATGGCTTTTGAGGGAGACATCTGGCCCCTCCGCAGAGTCTGTGAGCCTTCTGTTTGCCTTTTGCAGTCATTCAGTGGATCTTACTTGAGCCGCTGGCGACCCAATCATACTGTTACTTAGGCTGCACAGGACAGCCCAGCGCCCCAGCCCCTGCTGTGGCGCTCTGCCCTTGCAGGGGTTCTGTGGCTCAGGTGACTGCTGACGGTGGCCAGGGGACCTGGGACAAAGGGAAGGAGGGGTCAGAGTACCAATGCTTTTGGGGAAAGGTGATGTTGATAAAAAACCAGTCAGTCTGGTTTAGGGGCCTATTTTCATTTTTTGTAAAGCTGCCGATTGAGCAACCCTGGAGCAGGTCTGAGAACAGTGCCATTCTGCCTGCTGAGCTTTTTGCTCAGGGCCATATTTGCCTAAAACCTGTGTCAGATTGAAGGTGTCCTGTGGCTCATGCAAGCTTTTTGAGATTCTATTTTGTGTTTTGTCAGGGGTCTTTTTCTATTGTGCCTACTCTTTAAATTTCAACAATTTAAAAAAGTAATTTTCCTAAAGACTCTTTTAACTGATTTTCGTATTTCTCACAAATTTATATCTTGCTGTTAAATATCTCCTTTTTGGGTTTCTTAGTTTTTCTGTTTGCTTTGATAGTAAGAAAAAAGGTGTGAGGGATACATGGTGAGTGGTTTTGCAAAGTTGTTCATTGGTCATTAAATAATGCTGGATTACAAAATAGCAAACCACATGCACAATGTACATAGTACTGAATTAAAAGGTCACTATATTTTATATTATACAATTCTGTATACATTATTGCTAAACTTGAAAATGTAGTACAACAAAAGAGGCATCCTGTATGGGTGCTGGTTCATGTCCTGGCCACCCTGCTTCTGATCCAGCTCTCTGCATTGCCCTGGGAGTGCAGTGGAGGATGGCCCAAGTGCTTGGGCCCCTGACACACATGGGAGACCCGGAAGAAGCTCCTGGCTCCTGGCTTCAGATCAGCTCAGCTCTGGGCATTGCAGCCATCTGGAGAGTGAACCAGCAGATGGAAAACCTCTCTCTCTGCCTCTCCTTCTCTCTCTGTCTCTGTAACTCTGCCTCTCAAATAAATAAAAAAAAATTTTTTTTTTGATAGGCAGAGTTAGACAGTGAGAGAGAGAGAGACAGAGAGAAATGTCTTCCTTCCGTTGGTTCACTCCCCAAATGGCCACTATGGCCGATGCGCTGCACCGATCCGAAGCCAGGAGCCAGGTGCTTCCTCCTGGTCTCCCATGCGGGTGCAGGGCCCAAGCACTTGGGCCATCCTCCACTGCACTCCCAGGCCACAGCAGAGAGCTGGACTGGAAGAGGAGCAACCGG